TTTCAATTTGAAGCTTGAAAAAAAAGAGCCACAGTACAACCTTGAGTGTATACCACTAAGACCATCTCAAGAATAAATTTGATGCATTGAACACTAATGATCAAAGAAAAATATCCAAACATCACAAAAATGTTATGGGATAACACCAAGGATATATAGGGAAAAGAAAGAAAAATACTAAATTAGATGTCAGAAGAAACTCTAAACTTGTTTTTTATTATCACTCATAAACTACTTGATGAAGCATCCTTCTTTGTTTCCAGCTGGGAGCTGGGGCCTGTCAGTCCTGTCTGCCACGAGGACCTGATGTAGGCCACCTTGGCCAAGTGTCCTTAAGAGCCACACTTAAAACAAGTGAGTGGGAGCTTCCTCTCTACTCCCTTGCCTATCTGTGGCTCTCGTCTGTGACACTGTCTACTGAAGTGGCCCAGCTTTCCACAGTGGAAGAAATTCTGACCTCCTTTATTACCTCTGGGTGGCACTGTATATGAGTAAGACTTCCTTTTCCTGACAAAAGCCTTAAATCATCTATGGCAGCAATCACCTATGAATGGGTTCCTATTCAACATCAAGTAGTGTTGTTTTTTTACATTTTTTTACCTTTTTTCCTTTTTTTAATTATTATTAAATTTTAATTCTGATTCGAGAACCCAAAATCTCTGTAAATGTTCATTAAAACTAATAAAATTTAGTAATAATTTAAAAAAGGGAAAAAAGGTGAAAAAAATGTAAAAAAAAAAAACTACTTGATGTTGAATAGGAACCCATTCATAGATGATCCTAGGCTGTAAATTGCACAAGAAGAAGTTGACCATCTTTCTCTCAAGGAGCCACAGTGAATTAAAGCCATGAGTAAGCACAGCCTTTGAGTTAGCAGTGCAACTCCCTGTGTACTGTACCTGCAATCCACATGGCCAAGAGACATATGAAGAAATGCTCCAAATCACTGGCAATAAAACAAATGCAAATCAAAACTACAATGAGATACCATCTCATCCAGTAGCACTGGCAAAGTTTAACAGTATAGCAAGTGATAAATGTTGGAGAGGATGTGATGAGATACAAAGCTCTGTTACATTGTTGGCTGGGTTGTACAATGGTACAATCATTCTGGAAGGCAGTTTGCCACTTCCTCAAAAAGCTGAATATAAAAATTCCATGTAACCCAGCTATTCCATTGCTTGGAATATACCCCAAGAAAATGAGAGCTGAAGTTCAAATGGAAACTTGTACACCAATGTTCATAGTACAAGCGAATGGATTGAGAAGTTGTAATACATTCATACAATGGAATATTGCGCAGCACACAGGAGCAGTCATTTTGTAAATTACTACCCAACTTGGGAGGGACTAGAAAGCATTATGCTGAGTGAACTCACTCAGTCCCACAAGGACAAATACTGTATAAAACCATTATTATAGAATGAGTAGAGGAAGGAGGGTGTAAATAGAGGGGTGAGAATGGGGGAGGAGGGAGGGTGTTAATCATAGAGTTGCACAATTTGATGGGTGGGTTGGGTGAAGGAAATGGGAAGGATCTTTTGTGAAAAACAAACTTTGTAAAGAAATCAGAATAAAACTTTAAAAGGAATGTGGCCTCACAGTATTGGAGGAAAACTCATCAACAACCTGTGTTATGCAGATGACACAACCTTAGCTGCTGAAAGGAAAGTGGACTTGAAACATTTGCTACAGAAGTTCCAAGACTACAGCCTTCATTATGGATTACATCTCAACCTCAGAAAGACAAAAAAAAAACACTTCACCACTAGGCCAATTGGCAGCATTATGATAAATAAATAAAAGATTGTCAACTATTTAAATTGGACCCACAATCAAGCCCCTTGGCACCAGCAGTCAAATATCAAAAGATATATTGCATTGGGAAAATCTACTGTCAAAGACTTTAAAGGGTGAAAAAACAATGATGTCAACTTAAAAGTTAAGATAAGCCTAATCAAGCCATGGTCTCTTTTCAATTGCATCTATGCATTTCTATGCATCTGCAAATTAAATACTGAACAAACATGACAGAAGAATCATCGATGTTTTTGAATGTGGTGTTGGAGAAGAGTCCTAAACATTGTATGAATTGCCAAAAGAACAAATAAATCTTTCTTGGAGGAAGTTCAGCCAGAGAGCTCCTTAGAGGGCAAGGATGGCGAAACTCCATCTCACTTACATTGGGCATGTTTCTAGAAAGGCCCATTCCTTGGAAAAAGACATCATGCTGTGAAAGATGGAGGGTCAGCGAAGGAGTGGAACACTCTCAACAAAATGAATTGACACAATAACTATAAAAATGGGCTAAGTTTAGAAGAAATAATGAAGATGGCAAGAGCAGGATAGGGCAATACTCAGATCTGTTGTTCATAGGGTCGCTGTAAGTCACTATTTCTACTGTTATTGTTGTTGTGTTGTTAAGTGCCGTCGAGTTGAAGACGACTCATAGTGACCCTATGAACGAAAGACCTGAACGTTTGTATAACTTTCATCGTTTCTCCAAGTTCATAGAATTTCCGGAGGCAAGCTATTTTGGAAGAGGATGCTACTTCTGCTTCCAAGCTTGTTTTAATCGGCAAGCTCCACCAAACACTGTCCACCAAGGGTAACCATTATCACATTTGACACATCAGTGTCACAGTGTTTGGCATCACAGCAACCACGATTTACCTCTGCACAGCAATCCTATTAGATAGACAAAAAGGCAGGAATGATTCCAGCTAACAGAAAAATGAACAGAGCCTCAAAAAGTTCAGCCAGCCATTCCCATTAGACTGGACCCGTACCTCCCCCTCAAAAAATGTTTTAATTCTTTTCTACTAGTTTCTTTGTGCTGTCATTATGTTTTAAGGTGAAGGAAATGAGCTATAAACCTTAAGTTTCAGGTACCAAAATTTTAGTCAAGATGATAGTTATCTAGCTAATTAAAGCATTGACTACAGCCAAAGGGGGACATTGTCATACCCAACAAAGGAAGTGTATAACTGAGCAAAAAAGCAACCATCTTTCTTAAATATTAAGAACTTGTTGGTAAATCTGCTTGTATTAAAGACTCCTCCCCAAACAAAATACACTTCCATGGTATACATAACCATCTATTGGCCTTATATAACAGGATAAAAAAGACCAATAGGATTTCCAAGGCTCTAAATTGTTAAGAAAGCACACTATCCTATCTTTCTCACATGGTGAGGCTGGTGAATTTGAACTGCAGTCTTAACAGTTGAACATTTAAAAGCCTCTGACCCATCCAGGCTCCCTTCTAACTCCTAGTGACCCTATGAGGCAGAGTAGAATTTCCAAAGCTTGTCTTATATATAAGGATTTTCAAGGCTCATCTCACAAACTTGGGGTCAAGTTGACAGTAGGTGTCAGTCTCTGGAGAAGGATATCAAGTTTGGAAAAGTTGAGAGTGAGTAAAGTAAATAAAGACCCTTGATGAGCTGGACTGATATAGCGACTGCAATGGTTGGTTTATGCGCAGAAGAAATTGTGAGAATGGTGCAGAATCAGGCAACATTTTGGTCTGTTGTACATATGGTCATTATGAGTCAGAATCCACTTGAGAGTACCTTGCAATTACAATCTTTAAGGAGACTGCCATATCTTTCTCCTACAGAACCTCTAATAGGTTCAAGAACATGCGGACTCTCACTTTACAGCTGAGGAGATAACCAAGGCTCCTTATATAGTATGTTGTTGTTGTTATGTGCCATTAAGTCACCTGCGACTCATAGAAACTCTTCGTACAATAGCTCTGTACCTTGTCCTATTCTGAGACAGTCTCACTGTCTCTGAGACATCTACCCTTATTACCCCAATTACTGTGTCAATCTATCTCATTTGGGTCTTTCTCTCCTGCACCCTCCCTCTACCTTTCCAATGACCAGTCTCTCTGGTCACATAGTGACCAAAGTATGTGAGAATAATATGGTATTAAGAAAACATAGTAATAATGCTCTCAATGGATCTTACTACTGTCGAGTTATATGGATTAAGAGCTGGCCCTTCACTGGGTTTTTAGAGGCTGAAGATCACAGATGAAGAGATTGCTCATCTTTCTACTATGGAGAAGCTGGTAGAATTGAACTGCCTGCCTTTGGATTAGCAACACAACTCCTTATTCACTAGGCCACCTGAGCCTACATGTACCATAGTAATTAGAACATACATAAAATTAAAATAAAAGCTACTGGAAGGACAAACACCAAAATGACAACAGTGCATACCTTAGTTCCTGGAATTATGGATACTTTAGCTTATATCTTTTGTTCTCATCTGTATTTTCCAAATTATCTACATTAAGCATAAATTTATATGTATTTTTAAAATAGTGACATATAAAACACAATATTTTATACCTATCACCTATAAAATACATAGGTGATAATGAGTCAAGGTATTTCAAAAAGAAACCATGAGTTTAAATCTTCCTACTTTTCCCCCCTTTTTGGAGCTAAAAAGAAAATTGCTTTTTATGTATGTTTAGTATAAAGGAAAAAAAGGGGGCTAAGTTAGGAAAGTTTAGTAATTAGCTAAAAATAAAAATTTTCTGAGTTTGTTGCTTTAAGGTCCTTTGTAAGGTCCATTGAAGAACAGACTCCATGTTACTTATTTCTGTCATTAATTATTTAATCAATCATTTCCTTCTGCCCAACAGCAGATAATGAAAAGACTTATAAAGCGGTATGTTCTGAAAGCTCAAGTCGACAAAGAAAACGATGAAGTTAATGAAGGTAAGTATCTCTAGTTTGAGAAACTTCATTTTACAAGTAACTTAATGAACCTGGAAAGCTTCATACTGAATCATATTAAAAATTCAATCTCAGATTATAATTTGATTCCTTCAAGGTTGTGTTCCCAAATCTTTCCTTTTTCTCCCTCAAGCAACAGTTATTAAAAATGACCATCAGAAGCAATTTGCCTCTGCCTAAAATGCCATACACTGATTTTGTGGTTGTAAAAGATGTCAACTTTCCAGTATTTTAATTTCCATTATGACAGTATTACATCATGTGGCCGGTACTGTCAATTTTATATTCTTGATTTCAGACTTATAAAAACAGATTCTTTTTTCTGTAAAATAATGCTTAACTCATAGTGGAATTCATATTTCTTTAGAAAAACTTCTACATTGCTGTCCAGGAACAAATAGTTCGTTTTCCTTCTTTGGCATTTCTCTTTTGTCTTACACTCTCTGGCTCCTTGCTTATGTGTACCTATTTTTCCAGGCTTATCCCAGACGGACTTCATAGTAGAACTGTAATAAAATTATCACCCTTTATCCCAAAACACAGGCTCAGAATTGAAATCAACCTGAGAGGCATTACTTACTTCCCAAATTTAAATGGGGCTTCTAATGCTATCCTTTGGAAGCAGGAGTGGCATCCACTTCCTAAATAACATGACTCCAGAAACCCTGTGAACTTTAATAAATGTCAATAGCTGTAGAGGGGCTTCAGGCCTTTTGCTCATAATTTCGTTATGAGTCATGCTCGACTCAAAAGCAATCAACAACAATAGTGCTATCCTAGTCTATAGGTCTCTCATAAATTACCACAAATTTAGTGATTTAAAACAAAATAAATTCATTTTCTCATAGTTCTGGAGTCCAGATGTCCCAAATCAACACATTGGCAGGGCCATGCTCCCCCTAAAGCCTATAATGAAAATCCCTCCTTGTTCCTTCCAGCTTCTGGTGGTTCTAAGCATTCCTTACCTTGTGGCAGCGTAACTCATATTTCTGCCTCCACATGCCTTTCTTTCTGTATCTTCATCTCATGTGTCTTCTCTTACAAGGACACTTGCTAATGGATTTAGATCTTACCCTATTCCAGAATGATCTCTCAGGGATCCCTAAGAAAATGCATTACTCCCAACAGGCTACACCACAATAGCTCCTTGAGAAAAGATTATACAGAAATTACTAAATTAAGTAAAACAATTGTGATATAGCACTGTCTTGCTTATCCTGTAATATCTCATAACAATTTCAGAAGTTAATGTCAGCCTCATTCTTCCATTCTTTCGTCTTACGAATAAATCATATTCTGTTCATTTTGTTTTAATATCTTGCTCATTGTATGAAAATAGTCTGAGAATATTACTCTTGGTCATAAAGTACAAATAAAGATTTAAGACATGTTAAAGAAGTTATAAATGGAGTTTAGTAGACCCCCTAATAATCAGAAAATAGTCAAACATTTTGTTTATTTATTGTTGAAAATACAGAACTTAAGTGAAATTCCCAATATTAAAAAAAATAGCAAATAGCATTGTATGCTGGTGAAAATAACATAGGAATCGAGGGGAATTACACAGTTGGCCAAAATGTGTAGTATACACTCTGTGTATGTACAAAAGACACCTAGGACGTACACTTGAAGAATCTAAGAATGACTCTTCCAATTAGGGAGACAGAATGGAATTTAGAAAACAGAAATCTAATCAGTTGTATCATACCCATTAACCCATTGCCATCAAGTTGATTTTGACTCTGAGTGAAACTATAAGGAAGCCTCATCATGTAGTTTCTAAGGCTATAATTTTTCAACGGATGCATATTTCCAAAACTTGCTCTCAACATTTTGGTCAGTTGCTGATTACTTTAACCATTGTACCACCAGGGTTCCTTAGTAGTGCATGTTGCTGTATACCATCAAGTCGGAACTGACTGACTCATAACTGACACTCTAGCAGGTTTTCAGAGACAATAAATTGCACAGGAAATGATTGCCTATCTTTCTCCCAGGAGCAGCTGGTAGATTTGAGCCGTATTCCTTTAGATAGGCAGCACAACTCCTTACCACTAAACCCCTCGAGCTCCCTTTGCAGTGATAGTAGTACCATAACTTCCCTTAAAAAAACCAAACCAAACAAAAGCCTGTAATTTAAAGTGATTAAATGAGAATTGAACAAGCGCATCATCATTGAAAACAAGGAACATCTTCTAAGCTCTTGTACAAAAGATGACATTTTAGCAAACAAAGTTGTAACTATAACAAAGTAGATTGTATAACTTAATTTTGTCATGTATAAATGAAGCAACAGAAGGCCAGAGAAACGAATTTGTGTTTCTTATATTGGCAAATTATATGCAGTGTGACTCAACAATAAGGAAGTAATATACAGTAATAGAAAATAGAATGGGAGTCCATTCAACTTATGGCTTAAGTATAGGGCTGAACAGAATCAGAACTAATTTCTTTCTCCAAAAGCTATTCTTGTGTCTTAAAATTGTTATTGCTGTTGTTAGGTGCAAATATTTGCCCAGTATTCACTTTAGAAAATCAATGGCTTAGCTACAGTATAGCCATTTGCAGGCAAAGCTTTTGAATCAGTTCATTCTGATTTAACCTTTCTGAAGAATTTGCATTTCCATCCCAGATATGCTGCATTAAAGATTAAAATGTAGATTTTGATTCAATATATCCAGGTAAAAATATAAAATAACAGTAGGACATCTAACTGATATCAACCCTTTGAAGACTAGTTAGACTTGAAGGAAATTAACTTTTGTGGAAAGAAATGGGGAAGATGAGAGGGGAAAAAAGGTCATATTTGTATTTAAAAAGAAAGAAATGTTTTAAAAAGAAATACAATTTAGAATAAGATAAAGTGTTTTTATGTTAGACTGTTCTCCAAGTTGTCAGAGACTGATAATTGTTATTATTATTATTAGGCGCTGTCAAGTTAAATGAGCATTATAGCGACCCTATCTGAGCCTGTCCTATTCTGTGCCAATCTCACAATCTGACACACTCAAGACCATTGCTGCAGTCACCGTGTCAACTCACCTGGTTGAGGGTCTTCCTCTCTTTTGCCATCCCTCTACCTTTCCACGCATGATGTCCTTCTCCAAGGAATAGTCTCTCTTATCAACATGCCCAACATATTTGAGATGAATCTTTGCCATCCTTGCTTCTAAGGAGCAATCTGGCTCCAACTTCTCTAAGACATATCTGTTTGTGCTTTTGGCAGTCCCTGGGATATTCATTCCTCTCCTCCAGCACCACAACTCAAAAGCATCACATTTTCGACTGTCATCCTTGTTCATTGTCCAGTTCTCAGATGCCAGAGGGTAGTCAATAATTTTTTAGGGGGAAAGGCAAAGAGGAAGAATGGAGAATGATGTTGTTCAGTTTTAAATAAAAAGTATTGATGAGTTTCTTTCAGTGTTTAATTGACAAAATCAGTATAGGCATTTACCTCTGGAAAAATGATAAAATCCTTTGTCCATCAACCCTCATTTTTTCTCCTTTATTTTAATGTGATTTTTCCCCTTTTTCATCAAATGAGCCCATGAAATAAAATTACTGATTTCTTTTGAATTGGTTTTTTTGTATGTGCTGTTTGGTGACAACAGATCTGAACTCTGTCCTATCCTGTACCATCCTCAGCATCTCTGACACACTTGAGCCCACGGTCGCAGTCACTACATTAATCCATCTCATACTTTGTATATTCCATGTTCCAATTATTAATGGATGTTTGAAGCTGTTCTTTCTTATTTTACAGTGAAGACTGTATCTTCGGTGTTATACTTGTCTGTAACTGTTCTCTATTGTTCATAGGGTTTTCAAAAGACCTGTTATTTCAGAAGTGGACGGTCAATCCTTCTTTATATCGAATTAAAAAGAATCAACAATTTTTAAAATCATGCACCATCACAAAATTTACCACTACACAAATAAATCAATGAAAAGTAAATGATCACTATTTTAACTCAACCTGTACTATGACAATATGAACTATTTCTTAATTTAATTTCTAGAGAAGGTAGAGGCTTCTCTGCGAAGGGGTAGAACTTAGCAGATGTTTGTGTTTAATTGCCTCCCCCCATTCACCTGATAGTCAATATGTTTTCAAAGACAAGCATTTTTTTAATATTTTAATTTATTTATTTTTCATTTCAATGAACATCTACAGAGATTTTGGAATTCCATTCATTCATTGTTGCACCCTTCTCCCCGCCGACCCCCCCCCCGTTTGCTCCTCTCCTTGAAAAGCAAAAGAAAAACTCCCTCATTGGTACACAATCCCCCCCGCCCCTCCCCCAACCCCAAATATAATCCCCTCTCATTGCGTACTCCTATGATAAACATGTTGTTGTTGTTGTTATGTGCCTTCGAGTCGTTTGCGACTCATAGCGACTCTATGTACAACAGCCCTAAACCCTGCTCTATCCTGTGCCATAATGCCCTAAAATATAATACTTTTAAACTATTCTCTCCCCCATAGACTTCAATGCAGTAAACATTTTTAAAAAATAGCTTCATAAAACTGAAATATATACCTTGAAGAGTTTATAAAGCAAATAAGTAGTATATAAATTTTGCCACATTCCTTTCTAAACCCAAAGAGCAAATTATTAATTATGGTTTTTTAATACTATAGGTGAATTAAAAGAAATCAAGCAAGATATTTCCAGCCTTCGTTATGAGCTTTTGGAGGACAAGAGTCAAGCAACTGAGGAGTTAGCCATTCTAATTCATAAACTCAGTGAGAAACTGAATCCCAGTGTGCTGAGATGTGAATGACACAGTTACCTGGAATTCCAAGTGTGACTGCTATAGCACAATTGTGGGCAATAATATTTCTAAGTATGATATACTTGAAAACTGTGGTGTAAATTTTTAGTACTTTACCGTGTGAACCTTTGAAAGGTAGGTCTTAATGATTTTACTGTTTTGTCACATGAAAAATGGTCTTCATTTTAACTGTCTGCCTTGACAATTATGAACAATGGCATATTGTTGTATTTAAAGGCCCAGTATTTACCACATTACCAACATTTTTGTCCATTTTAGAACAAACTTTAAGTATTTGCACTACCTGTATGTCCCCGAGAGACTGTAAGCTCTTTGCGAGCAGGGACCGTGTCTTACTCATCTTTGTGTTGTCAGCATCTAGTTCAGTGCCTGGTACATAGTAGGTGCTCAATAAATATTACGGAAACAAATGGAATTAAACTGCCAACAACATAAAAATAGAAACAAAAAGGCATCTCTGTGTAGCCTATTTTCCCTTGTTTAAATGCTCAAAAGATTTTTTTAAAAAGAGATTTTGAAGAACTTTTACAATAAGCTATAATTTGATGAGCCATTTAGAGAATTCTTCAGCATCACAGATAATCACAAAACTATTGATCTCTCTCTGAGTGAAGAATGTAACAATGAAATGAGTCAATAGAAAATGGAATTATATATTTAAGTTTCAGAGAATTGTTAGAACAACACATTAAAGATTTTTCTAAAGAAAGTTGTTTGCTTTCTGTCTTAGATTTCCATTTGCTTCTTTTTAGTACTGTGGATTCAGTTAGTTAGTAGGATGGGTTTTTTGTTTTTTTTTAAGCTGTGTGTTATGCAGGATTGTTAGTTTATTTTAATAACCTAATGTCTACCTCTTATGCTTTAATGCTAGGTTTAAAAAGCTAGCTTTATGCTTTTCCCTAATACATCTTGGAAGAAATCAGAAAGCATATTGGCTCTAGAAAGGCATGTCTGTTCCCTTCACTTTTCACCTTAATATGGCTATTTTTAAAAAAAATATAATGTTCAAGCATCACCGGCTATATTTCCTTTTCTTTTGAGGCATCTCTTTTCATTATTGGTCACCATTATTAACATTTTATCAAAGCATTTGCGTTCCACTTTGTACAAAGAATATACTTTAATGTATCTGTGACTCATATAACTAAACTGAATACTAATAATATCCACAACACCTCATGACTCTCCTAGGAAAAGCAATATAGACTAATGAGTTCCCTTGTTTCTTTATGAGCATGAAATACTTAGTAATTTTTTATC